TGCCCTGCGAGCTGGGCACGTGCCTGCGGCTGGGGGAACTGCCTGAGCATTGCTGGCTGCTGGGCCTCCAGGCAATTAGTGAGAAAGCTTAATTAGTCACTGCAGCTCAGCCTGGTCGCTGCTTGCACTTCATCAGATTGTGTTTGGATGGTGTCACTGGGGTAGATCCTGCTTCCCTGGGGAACAAGGAGAGCTTTGGGAGCTCTAGGACAGCTTGGAACAGCTCACAGGCAGCAGCAGGAAAGGAAATGCAGGCAGAGCTGTGGGCCTGGCACTGAAATCTGTGAGGGTGCAGAGGGAGCCTCTGGATCCCAAAATCATGTCCTGCCATGGAGAGAAGCCCCCAGGAAAGCTCCACGTCCTGACCTAGGGAAGGGAGACCTGGGTAGCCCAGGCTGCTGGCTTGGATGGTCATCACACAATCCTCACTGTCTCCCCTTGGGCATCATGCCCTGGGACTCTGTTCTCATTAACATGCAATTAATTGGCTTCTCATTGATTAAATTAACTGGCAGCACTGTGCTCCACAGCGGAGGAGCCCTGGGAGCTGCTCAGGGCAGGGTAGACGTGGGAAAGGGCCGGCTCAGGGGGTCATTGTGAGGTCCAGATCAAAATCCACCTCTGCTTCCATAATGAGTGTCTGGCAGGAGCAGGGACAGGAGCAGGGACAGCTGCAGTGGCCTTGCAAAGTGACACCAGCCTGGAGGGGACCCCAGGGACCATCTGGGGTCTCAGGGCACGCAGTGGGAGCAGCGGTCCTGGTGCTGGGGCTGTCCCTGTCACCCTCAGAGCATTCACAGCTCCAGTGAGGGCAGCACTATGGTCAGGAGGGAATTTCTATAAGAAAGTGAAATCTTCAGGGTTTTTCCCCCCAAAAAAGGTGTTTTCCCCACTAGTCATCACTTGGAGAGGAACATATTCCCCCCCCACACACCTTCTCCATGAGACATCCTTTACTCTCCTGCTTGTCCAGGGAAGGTTCCAGAGCAATGCTGGGATCACCAGCACCTGCCAGTGCCACAACAGGTGAGCAGGCAGTGTGACACCATAGTGGCACTGCTGGGGGCCAGCAGGTTGTGCTCCTTCAGCTGCTCCCAGTGAGGCAGTGCCAGAGGGGAAACCACTTTGATCCAGAGGGACAGGCAGAGGCTGTGGGACCAGATGGGGGACGAGTCGTCCTGTCCTCTTCCATCCCATCACCTTGGGAGTTGGGGATTTTTCATCCTGGGCACTGTGACACTGTGGTCCTGCACCTCCAGTGTTGGGGAAGCCCGCCATCCCATCACCCATGTCCCCAGGGAAAGGGTTAAATCTCCATGGGAGCAGGCATGGACTGCAAGCCTGTGGGAAGACCTCATGGAAAGCTTGGATTGTGGGGAACCCTCGGCACCAACACCTGCCCTGTGAGGTTGGCTGTGTCACACCAGCTCTGGCCACAGTGGATGGAGCTGCCCAAGCCTGGAGCATCTCCCACCCCCAGGAACCTTGAGAGCATTTTGTTCTTTTCTTTCTCTCCTCGTGACACCCATCCCACGGCATATCCGAATGTTTCTCGTTGATGCCAGTTATTAGTGCATAAGTGTATTTTGGGGAAAAAATTAAAACACAAAAAAAAAACAAAAAAAAAAGGAAAAAAATTTTCAATTTATCACTTGTAACCATATATATAAATATATAAATATATATATTAAAAAGTGTTTATTTGCAAAAAATAAAATTGTTTTAACGGTAAACTATCTTATAATAAACTCCCGATTTGTGATGATCTGTTCTTTTGTTAATCATTGACAAATCCTCAGTTGGAGAGTACTGTCCGAGCAGCTCCGAGCAGCGCCGAGGCGCTCCCTGTACTGTATGTATGAAACAGCTGTATCGAATAAATGGTTATTGATTTTTTATTAGCACTGTCGGCACCGTTATTGGGCAGTTCGGTGGGAGGTTGGACGTGGGATCCAGGGGGTTTGGATTTGTCCTTCTTGGCAGTGGCTGAGAGGATCCCCCCAGCTGCTGAGGATGGAGCGTGTGGTCACCAGCCATGGGGTGCCCCCAAAACCAGGATGGGGAAGGTGGGGGCACAGCCAGCACTCCTGATGCCAGGGGGATCCCCAATGCCCACAGCCTCACTCCCATGGTAGAAATCCCCCTAAAGCTGTTTCCCATCCACCCATCCCATCAGCAGCATCCAGCGTGTCCTGGCCCCAGGGACCACATCCAGCCCAGGACTTCTCCTCCCTGGGGAGCTCTGCGGGACCCGGGGCCACCCCCCGGCTCTCCCAGCGTGGGAATAAATCCTCTTCTGCTCCCTAATGGCTTTTTTGGCACCGAACCCAAGGCAGGGACGGATTTAGACTGATCTCGCTGCTGGCTGAGAGCGCAGCCTTTCCCCACGGGCGCTCTCGCCCCCCAAGGACGGCTGCGGACCCCGGGGCGGTGCTGGCCCCCACCCCCCGAACATGTGCTACCACGAACCTCAGCCCGGCCGGGATGGTGCCGAGTAAAACCAGATCCCAGCCAGCTCCCCGGGACCCCCACGGGGCGGGGGTCCTCCCAGCTCTCCGCAGTGCCCAGCGACATTGTCAGAGCCCGGCTCACACAAACCGCGCTTCCCCCCAGCTGCAGGATGATGGGGGATGCTGTGTGCTGCATCCCTCAGCGTCTTGGGCAGGGATGCTACTGCGGAGCCGCCCACAGGTACCCACAGCATCACTGTGAGCCCCGCAGCACCCACCCATGTCCAGAACACCCACCTATACCTCCGAACACCAGCCCCCACAACTCACCCCCGTGCCCTACAGCACCCAGCCGTGCCCACATAGACCCATCTCCCCGCACAGCCCTTATGACCACAGCACCCCTCCGTGCCCCATCAGGGTACCCATCGGTGCCCAGATCCCCCCGAACCCCGCGCTCCGGCTCCCGCTCCCTCCCAGCCCGCACTACAAGTCCCGGGGATCCCCGCGGCAGCGCCGCCCCCGCCGCTCCCGCCTCTCCCCGCAGCACCATGGCCGCGGCCCCGGTGCCCGAGGGGGCTCCGGGACAGCCGCACGACAGGTAAGACCCCGCTTGCTTTTCCCCGGGATAATCGCTCCGGGACGGGAGCGACACCTCGGCGCCCCGGAGCCGCCGTTCCCGGTTTGCCGCCGGCTCCGGGGGTGGCGGTGCCGCTCCCGTTCCCCACGGTGCCACTTCCGCGAGTGGGGCCTCCCCGAGCCCATCGCTCCATGAAAGCCCTTCGCTTTCCCCACCAACCATTTCTTCCCACCCCCGCTTTATCCTTTGTTTATTTTCATCCTTTTTTCCCGCTCCCTTTCATGTTGTTACCTTTTCCCTTGTTTACCTTATTTTATGGTTTTTGCCCTTAATTTCCCTGCAGATAAACCACAGCTTCCCATTTTTCAAGCTTGCTCGCACATGTATCCTCTCCATCAAGATGAAGAGTGGGACAACCTAAACTTTTCCACCCAAAACCCCCATACAGGGTGATTGCCCTCAGCCCCCCCACACACACACTCGTGTTTCTCCTTTATTTTCAACCCCCTTTTTCAGAACAAACCTGAGGGGACTGACTGCTCCCAAACATCAAATATCTGGGAATTGCATTTGGAGCATCACTGGTGCTCTGGGGATGTGGCAAAGCTTACAGGGATGGAGCATCCCTGTATCCCTGCTTGTAGGGTACCAACACCCCACAGCACCGCCCCACCAACCCTGGAGTCAGTGCCAGAGCATCCATCCTGTTCCCATCCCTCCTGTTCCCGTCCCTCCTGTTCCATCCTCCATGTTCCAGCAGCTAAGCCCATTGCTGTACCCTTCCTGTGAGTCAGTGGTGGATAGTGGGGAGGACGAGGGTGAGGATGGGAGGAAGGAGTCTCCATGATTTGTGCTGGTCGAGTGAGGGATGAGTAACTGGGTTGTGTAACAGAGCCCCTCCACTGTGGCTCCCACTTGCTATAAATAGCAACAGATAATTGGGTTTGCAGAGGGAATTGTTTGTCCTTTTGTGGTGAGGGAGCAGAGACCATAGCAGAGCTGGAAGCTCTGAGCGTGGAGCTGCTGAGATGAACCATCAGCTCCAGGTGGCTCCAGCCAGGACAGAGCTTGGTACAAGGCTGGGTAAACTGGGAACGACGTTCCATGGGTTCCAGGATGGGTATGGGCATGGCATGTGACAGAGGGATGGCAGCCAGGTGCCTCCATCCCTTGTGTGGGCTCCTCCATCCCATGAGCAGGTTCTTTGATCCCTTGGACACGTTCCTCCATTCCTTGGCTGTGTTCCTTCATCCCTTGGGATGGTTTCTTTGACAGGGAAGGCCCAGCCAAGAGCTGGCACACACGGATCCAGCCCAGCTCAGCGATGGAGGAAACAGGTTTGACCTCCACGCTCCTGTGGGTGCTGCTCCCAGGATGGGATCTGGGAGCAGGACCCTCTCCTGGGAACATCTTCCATTGGGGGCTTGGTGTATCTGCAGCTCTTACACCAATCCAGTGACAGCACTTGTGACCAAACAAGGAAAATCCACATGCAGTCCAGCTTCCATCCTTAAATCCCAGGGGAAACCCACCCAGCAGCTGCCAGCACCAGAAGGAAAAGGGGACCCCAGGCCTTCGTGCCTGCTTTCCTCTTTTGCTATATTTAAGTCTGCCATTAGAGGAGGGATTTGCTTAAAAATCACTGGAAGAAAAAAGTCCAAAACCCAGAAATTTTAACTTGTGCAAGAGCTCAGAAGCTGGGAAGGGGCTTGGGAGGCAGAGATTTGTGCCAGCAGGAAGGCTCAGTCACAGCTGGCCTTTGGAGCCAGGGTGTCCCACCTGGGAGCCCAGTGGGAATGGTGGGTGGGATGCTGGGAGAGTTGCTCCTGTTGCCTGGACGTTTAACAAAGGCAGGAAAAGTGGCAGCAGGAGCAGGCGATAAGGAACAATATCCCTGGGCCAGGGCTCCTCACCCGTGTCCCGCATCCCTTTGCTTTTTTGCTTCTTTAATGAGAAGGAACAGAAATGGCTCCGGAAGAGAATTTTATTTTTAAACTTCTGAGAGAGCTTTTACAGCGAGAGGGGAGTCCAGGCAGAGACCAGGGATGGAAAAGTTCCTTTGATCATTGCTTGCTTCCCTGACGTTGGGGCAGCAACTGCAGCTCACGCTGGGGACAGGTTACCCCAAAACCCTCCTGTCCCTGTCCCCTGTCTCAGGACCAGCCCCTCATTTCTGGTTCCCATCAGGTCTCCTTCTTTTGAGATGACGCTCTACAGGTCCCACTGGTGAGCAGGAGCAGGAGGGGTTTCCTGACAAGTCTGGGAGGCAGTGTGTTTCACCTGCCTCTGGAATAACCTTGGTGGCTCGAGGAGGAGGAAAGGGTCTTTTTCCATTTCTGGCCCCATCTCCAGGTGTTGGTACTAAGCAGGAGGGAACTCCCTCCCCAGAACCCCTCAGCAGTGGGTGTGCAGGGGCCAAGCTCCTGTCTCACCATGCTGGCGTCTCACTTGGTGGCCACCGGACTTTGTCCGGGTGCTCTGTGCCCCTGGCAGAGCCTGGCTGCCCTCCTGTGCCACCTCCTCCCTTCCTTGGCAGCCAGAGGCTGTGGGCTGAGGGCTGCTCTGCCCCAGTCTCTGCCCCAGGGCTGGCCTGGACCCCCCTGCCATGGTGCCCAGCATCTCCCACCCTTGGCACGTGTCCTGCCCTTCAGCAGCTGCCTGGCTCCCTGGGCTTCCCGTGTTTTGCCCAGGCTCCCTGCCCTCCCTGGGGAGGCTGGTGCTGGAAGAGGAGCTGGCTGGCCCGGGGGGGCAGGGGCAGCTGGCAGGGGTGCTGAGGGAGCGGATGGCCGGGCACGGCCAGCGGGATGTTATTCTTAGCCACCGGCAGCCCCGGGGTGTTGAGTTTCACCCACTTGTTTACTCCAGGGCTGAGGGGCAGCTCTTGGGGAAGCTAAGTGACCAGGGGGGACCCTCAGCCAGACCACCCACTGATGGGAGCCAAGGGAGAGGGGTGGGAGTCCTGGACCAAAAAGCCCTACAGGGGAGCAGCCCCTGGCCCCGAGCCCCAGCTGCTCCACCAGCTGCATGAGGGCTGCTGGCTGGGTACCCCCTGCCCGGGGTCATCCCCTCCTGCCCACTGCAGCCCCCTCCCCAGTGGTGTGGAGAAGTCCCTGGGAACTCACCAATGCCGGGGGATGTGGGTGTCACTCTCCAGGTGCCCTCCCTGCTGAGCCCACAGTCCAGGACAGCCGAGCACCCCCAGTCCCAGCAGCAGAGGCACTGGGGCTGGTGTTTATTGCCTGTGCTGGGGGCGGTGAGGGGAGGTGTCACCTCATCCCCAGCCCCCCTCTTTTTCTTTAATCAAGCCAGTGCTATTAATATCAGGTAATGAACGTAATCTGGAGGTTAAGCTATCCTCTTATGCTGCTGACCGCCTCGCAGCTCCCGGGCGCAGACACTCCCCCTGCTCTGCTCCCTTCTCCTGCTGCCATCTTCCAGCCCCCGGCTCTGCTGGGGCTCTGCCTCACCCCGTTCTCTTGGGACCCTTCAGTGCCCATTCCAGGGGGACACTCCCCACATGGCTCTGTGCCCCAGGAATCACTCTGGGAGCCCCGCTGGCATGGCCCCTCCCTCACCCTGGTAGTGCCAGAGGTTGTGGGACAGGAGCCGAAGTGTGGACAGGGACAGGGGGTGACACCCTCAGTCCAGGATCACCCCTGGACCGGCGGCAGGGGGACATGAGCAGCCCCCCAGCCTTCTCCAGTGTCCGCATCTCCGGCTGCTGGGCCCTTGGGCCAGATGGCGGGTGAGTCTTGCTTTGGTTTTGGGTGGAATTTGCCGTTTTTTGTCTGTCTGTTTGCTGGAGTGAACTCTTGGTGGCTCCTGTCCCAGTCCCTCAGCCCCAATTCCTGTCTGAAAATATCAGCTTCCCACGGGACGTGGCTGCAGCCAGCCAGGCACCTCAGCAGGCTGTGGGGGGCTGCTGGGGGGTCCACAGGGCTGGGAGCTCAGTCAGTGGGTTGTTTACGGGGCGCAGAGCCCAGGACATGCTCTCCTGTCTGCTGCCAAGTTCAGATTTGGGGCTGTGCCATCTTTCCTTTTTGCTGTGGGTGATTTTGGGACCTGCTGCCTTTGCTCTGCCATCCCAGCATGGATCCAGGGTGGTCAGGGGTCTCTGAAGGCAGTGGGATGCAGAGAGCCTGAGCACAGGGCACAGGGATGGCGATGGGAGCGCAGTGGGGAAGGAGAGCACCTTGCACCTCAGTAAATCTGTGCTTGGACTAAGCAGGAGCAAAATGCTTCCTTCATTTGTTCTGGCACAGCAGCAGAGCTGGAGAGCCCTTCCCAGGAGCAGGACCCCCCCAGGCTTCCTCTGGGACACTCTGTCACAGCAGACCTCACATTAGAGATAGAAATGAGCCGAGACACACACTCTGGTTCATCAGCATGTGCCAAGGTCCTGGTTTATTCTTCCTCACAGCTCAGCCAACAGACTTCAGCTACTCACAGACTCTGACTACAGCAGGCTCCCACTGTGGGCTTCCCTTGCTGGCTCAAACTGAGCTCACAGCAGACCCCTCACAGCAGCAATTCTTTCTCCTGTTTGGTCAGACCTCCCCCAGCCACCTAACCACTCATCCTTACTGGTCACGGCTGTGACCATTAGGGGCAAGGCTGGTTTTGGTAATTAGCACATCTGTGGCTTATCCAGGTACAAGGTTGCCTGTAATTCATTCTCCTACAACACTCCAGCAAGGATGCAGCAGCCATAGGGAAGGCAAAAGCATCCCCAAAAGCTGGTGACAGCCTGGAGAGAGCTGGTGGCAGCCAAGCCCTCCAGGAAAGCTTGGCAGGAGAGGGGTTGCCAAGCCCAGGTGATGTTTCCTTTCCTATTTGCGTGGTTTTGGCACCCCAGAGGTTTGCTCTGCTAGGGAGGGTCCACGTGGGACAAGGACCCTCCTCTGGGCAGAGCAGTGGCATTGGCTCCATCTCTAAACAGAGTCCCATTCTCTGGGGCTTCACCTTGTGGTACAGGGCATTGCAGGGGCTTCAGCACTGCTGCAGGGAATTTCTGAACAGGAGCAGGGAGAAATGGCCAGTGGAGATGGCTGAGATCAGCCAAACCTTTGGAGCAAGAAGAGTCCCTTCCTGGCAAAGGCAGCCATGGAAAACAGCTACAAATCTTGCAGTGTAACATTAGGAGAAAAGGCATGACCTTTGGAGAACTCCAGGACAGCCCTACAGTCCCACAGCCATACTTGTCCCAAATAAATCATGGGAATTGTGGATTTGAGAGGTGTAGAATATCATCTGCCTGTAGAAGATACAGACATAGATGAGGCATAGATGTACAGCTTTAATGATACTGATAAAAATGTGTAGAATTTTGGTGAAAGTTCAGTATTATTTGGATGACATAAGGCAGAGCACCAACTCTTGGGATGGGATTCAGGTGCTGCATCCCAGAGCAGCCCCGGGTGTGCAGGGGGAGGATGGCTCCACTCCTCTCCCAGGGACATGTCCCTGCTTCCTGCAGCAATGTTCCCTCTGTGCCAACACCCTGGGTGTGCTGCAGGCACCCCGGAGAGTGGAGTGGAGAGATGATGGGAAAGCAAGGTGGGGCTGTGGCTGTAATTCTGGGCACTGGTGGAGCTCTTGGAGTCCAAGCCTCTTCCTCCCTGGAGCTGGCTGATGTTGATGCCGGTGGGAGCAGAGCTCAGCCTTGCTCCAGCTCCGAAAAAAAGAGCTTCATCCAACTGGGAGTCACTTTGGGAATGGTGGCCTGGGTCAGGATCTGCAGGCTGGCACAGCAGAGCTTGGTGCTGTGTGACACCAAGGAGCAGAGAGCCCCTCGGGCTCTCCTGTCTCATGGAGACTGATGTGCAATCCCAGGGGAGAAGCAGCCTGAGCAGCACGGCTCTGGAGCGAGCCCCAGGAGAGGGGCTGGGATATGGATGAAAGGACCCGCTTTCTCCTGTGGTAAACAACTGTGTTTGTGTCACCTCTGCTTTAATCCAGCCGAAAGTGACGTTGTTTGTGCCCCAGCACCCGTGGCTGCTGTCGGCCCCGCTCTGGGAGCAGCACTGCTGGGTAGCGGCTGCTGCAGCATCACCCGTGGCAGAGGAGACCCAAACATCCCGCCTGGGTTTGCTTCTCCTCGTGCAAGGAGCCATTTTTTCACAGGAAGACACCCCAGAAGGTTTCCTGATGGGTGTCATCTCCTGAGGTTGCTTTTAAAGAGTTGTAGTTGGGGTGTTTTGGGCTCCTGGCTGAGCCTGAGCCTGGCAGTGCTTGGAACTGGCTCTGTGTGCTGATGGGATGAGGTGTTGGTGTCCTGAGCTCTTGGGGGGAGTTCCATGAGTGCACAGCTTAGGGTGGACATGGGTGGGACAGATCCTGTCACAGGGGCAGGAGCTGCAGCCTGGCTTTTGTTAGCAGCAGTTCAGCAAAGCCAGGCCAATCCCTGTCTCCTTGCCTGCTCCACAGGGATGTGCCGGAGGTAGGGATGGTGTGCTGTGGGCATCCTTTGCCAGGGGGATCCCACCATGCCCAGGGGGTTTGTTTGCCATGCAGGGGTGGGGGTTGCCATGTCATTTCACACGCATATGGCCCTTCTGAAATTTTGATCTTTATCTAAAATTGTTATAAAAAGGGCTGGGGGAGGGAAGGGAATTAATCTTCATACTGAAACAGCTTAAAATCAACCCAAAATCTGTAAAGCCCTGCAGTTTAAGCCCTTTCAAGAGCAAGCCATAACAGAGCAGCAGCAAAGCCCTGCTGGCTCGGCTGGGCTGTACCAAACAGTGACAGCTTGGAGCCAGTGGTGCCCAGATCTCTTGATTTCCCTTCCAGCCCGGTCATGGCTGGGGTGAGGCACAGCATGAGCCAGGAAAGCCCTTTGCACTTTCTCCCAGACATCTCTCTGGGGCAGCAGAACAGGAGCAGGGAGGAGCAGGCACTGGTATAAATAATCCTCCCTGTCCCTTAGCTGGCCAGGCAGTGCTGCAGCTTATCTCCTGGCCAGAGGCCACTTATCACCTCCCAGCCACAGCTCTCCTCCTGCCAAGCTGGAAAGGGCTCTGGAGGGTGCCTTGTTCCTCTCCCTCTCCAGCAGCGAAGATAAGGGAGAGTGTTCAGCAGCTCCAGGGCTTTGGGTGAGCTCAGAGCACTCAGTTCCCAAGGCAAAGCTGATGGCTCTGCCCAGCCTGCAGGCTTGTCCCAGGGGGCTTCAGGACAGAAGGTTGGGAGAACAGGTCTTGGGTGTGAGTGGAGCACTCAAAGTGGGGAGAGGGAAGGGACTGGGGATGGGGGGACGACGATGGTTGTGCTGTAACCCATGTGTTTGACTGCTATCCCCAAGAAGGGTCCCTTGGCACACCAGGGTGGGCTGTTGCCCCCTGGAATACTCCTCAATGCTCTGAGAGCTCACTGGGGGATTTATTTCACACAGACATTCCTCAGACAGCAGGACTTTTGGGGATGGATATTTGCACAGCACCTCTTCAAGGTTCACATTGCTTCTGTGTGTGAATTCCTCGCTGTTGTCTGTGGCTGTGGGTCATGGAGATGTGGGTGCTGGTAGTGCTGCAGCGGGGCTGTGCTTGGCTGTCCCACCCTTCACCTGTACAACACGGGACCCCCAAAGACCCCTCTCCCACACAGGCACGTGTGTCCTTCCCCACCGGGGTCACTGTGCCCCTTCCTCTCTCCAGCAGCAGCAGTGCTGAGTCCCTGGACCGGCTGTATCCCGCCGTGGGCTCCACCAAGCCCCCCCGCAAGCGGACCACCAGCCAGTGCAAGTCTGAGCCCCCGCTGCTGCGGACCAGCAAAAGGACCATCTACACAGCAGGCCGGCCCCCCTGGTACAACGAGCACGGGACACAGTCCAAGGAGGCCTTTGTCATAGGTGGGTCACCTCTGCATCCCGGCCACCTGCCCCGTGGCTCTCCCGGAGATCTTGGTGGGAGTTCTGCCCACCGCCTCCTTGGAAGTTTGAGGTTGGCTCCAGCCTGGACAGGAGCAGGGGGAGTCCCTGTGGTTAGCCCTGCATTGGCTGGGTGGGCTGAACCTGAAAGTGTGCAGGGGGTGATGGGTTGTAGGAGACACACTCTGCTTCTTGTTCCCTCAGCTCCTGTTGCCTGGGCTGTCACAGGTTCCTAGGGATTCGGTCTGGACTGGTTCCTATGCCAGCACTCCCCGTGTTACATAACCATCTAACAATGGGTTTCCCAGCTTTTGCAGGGCATGTTGCTGGCAGTTCCAGTACATGCCATTTG